TGCTGGGATTACAGGCTTGAGCCACCGCGCCCAGCTAGATGTGTTTTTCTTTGCTTTTATTCCAGGGGGTTTTGCAGAGCTTCTTGGATCATGGTTTGTTGTTTTTTTATTAATTTTGGAAAAAAATTGGCCATTTAAAATTTTCTTTTCTTTCTGTTTCTACTTATTCTTCTCTCTTCTCTCTCCTTAGCTAGGATTCCAATTATATATATACAGACCATTTGCACAGTTCTTGGGTAGTCTGTTGATTTTATTTTCACTCTTCTTACTCTTTATATTTCAATTTGGATAATTTCCATACACCATCATCAAGTTCAAGGATTCTTTACTTTGCTGTGTCCAGCTTGCTGATAAACCCATTGAGGGAATTCTTCATCACTGATATTGAGGTTTTCATTACTAACATTTCTACTTGACTAGCCTTAATAGTTTCCATGGTTCTGCTGAAATTTCCCTTCTGTTCTTAAAAGTCTACCTTTTTCACTACGTCCTTTAACATATTTATTATAGCTAGCTTGTTTCTATCTGAGAGTTCCCACATTTTGGCCATCTCTAGATCCAGTTCTGTGTGTCTTAAAATCTTTGATTAGCTACGAGGCATTGTGTGTAATAGAACAGTAGTAAAGTAAATGATATTTATGCCTAGAAATTGGAATATTTCTTATGTCATGGCTGTAGTATAGGGCATCAAGTCAATTTAATCTGTAGTTGATTAAGGTTTATGTTTTATTTATTTATCTGTTTATTTAGAGATGGAGTCTCACTATGTTGCCCAGGCTGATCTTGAACTCTTGCGCTCAAATGATCCTTCCACCTCAGCCTCCCAAAGTGCTGGGATAACAGGCATGAGCCACAGTGCCCAGATGGATTTAGGTTTTGTTGTTGCTATAATTACCTTCTACAGGCTCCACATTTCTCCAGTGGTGGACTGTCCCTACTTTGTGTTCAGTATAAGGACTTGAGTCCCGCAGGAATTTTCTCAGCATTCCCACTCGGCACTCAGCATTGCATGCATGCAGCACAGAGGAAACCTCTCTTCGTATTGTACTCTCTTCCCCAGCAGTAGACTGCTGTTACTTGGTGCTTGGTGCAAGACTTGTGGTAGAGGCAGTGAATTCTTAATTCTCCTGCTCTAGCTTCAGCCTTAGACAGTCTTGAGCCTGAGCCCCAGGAGTGGGGCTTTCTTCGTGTTCCTGCTTCTCCTCCAGTTTTTGAGAACCTCTTCCTCTTATTCAGTGCAGGTACTAGAATCCAGGCAAACTTCCTCTGCTTCACCCCCATGGCAACGAAACTCTGCCTTATTAGTTGGGAGATCCTGAGTGGGAGTGAGGTTCCTGCTCTTTTCTCAGTGGTAGGCACAGCCCTCTGTTTTACAGCCCTCTGTTTTACAGCCATGCAGAATCCTGGGCACTAATGGGTTTCCTCTTCCTTTCCAGTATCCAGTGGCTTTTTTTGGTTTGTTTTCTTTTGAGACAGGGTCTCACTCTGTTGCCCAGGATGGAGTGCAGTGGTGCTGTGGCAGCTCACTGCAGCTTCCAACTTCACAGGCTCAGGTGATTCTCACACCTCAGCCTCCTGAGTAGCTGGGAAAACAGGCGTGTACTATCTCACCTGGCTTTTTTTTTTTTTTTTTTTAGAGGCAGAGTTTTGCCCTGTTGCCCAGGCTGGTGTCAAATCCCTGGGCTCAATCAATTCACCCACTTCAGCCACCCAAAGTGTTGGGGTTACTGGCATGAGCCAAAGCACCTGGCCCTGATGGCCTTTGCTTAGTGTCACTGCGGCATTGTGGTTGGAGGGTCTTCTCCTCCAGCAGAGGCAGTCCATGTTTCCCTTGCAGCAGGTCAGGGACCTGTGGGATGGGCATCTTACATCAAAGCAAAGCCAGAGTGCAGGTGTTTATCTCTCAGCAGGAGCCAGTTCCCACCGTGCACTCGTGCAAGTCCCAGAGCACAGATACGCTTCTCCAGGCATTCCTGCTCCAGCACGTTCCGCATGGCCATGTCATCATGGGGTTCTCTCAGGCCCTGTCCCACTCCACATCATTCTCATGGGCATCCAGTGGACGACTGTAGGAGGGAGCTGTCTAGAGGGCACAGGCTAACTTGTGTCTAGGGCTCCCAGCAAACTGCCACCCTCACTAATGCTCAGCCATTAAGAATTCATTAAGGTATTAGTCATTTTCTCCTTATCTACATTTGTGGCACCTACCTATTCCTCCATGCTCTGTCAACATGAAACAGATAATGTGTTTCATCCAAAAAAGATGACGTGTTCTGGTTATCTCCAGAAACCAGTTTACTTGGTGGCCTGTGACCTCAGCTCTCTAGTAAGCTAAAAAAAAAAAAAAAAAAAAAAAAAAAAAAGATTTTGTACATTATTTAGCTTTTCCTTTGCTATGATGGGAACAATGTTCCCATGTGGCTCTACTTTCTAAGTGGAAATCAAAATCATCTTTTTTTTTTTTTTTTGAGACGGAGTTTCGCTCTTGTTACCTGGGATGGAGTGCAATGGCGCGATCTCGGCTCACCGCAACCTCCGCCTCCTGGGTTCAGGCAATTCTTCTGCCTCAGTCTCCTGAGTAGCTGGGATTACAGGCACGTGCCACCATGCCCAGCTAATTTTTTGTATTTTTAGTAGAGACGGGGTTTCACCATGTTGACCAGGATGATCTCGATCTCTTGACCTCGTGATCCACCCACCTCACCGTCCCAAAGTGCTGGGATTACAGGCATGAGCCACCGCGCCCGGCCAAAATCATCTTAATATGGTTTTTACACAATTAAAAAAAATCTCCCATTCAATGTTTCTATTATGACTATATACATTCCATTCCATATGAAGTCAAGTTGTGTAGCAGCATTTCATTTTCTTTCTTGTACAACTTGGTTTTCTTGAAATTAATCGCTTCTTTTTATTTTTGTATTTACAAATTTTCTGTAAGACATCTCAGAAAACAATTTTTCTAGGTGCTCAAACCTATTGGATAGTTTATCTCCTCTCCTTTTCCTCTTCCTGATTTTTTTCTTGAAGCCCTCCCTCCAGGGGCATTCTTTTCTCCCGCTCCCTTCAGATGGGAAGTGCCCTAGTCCTGGTGTTTGACATCAACCTGGGCCTTCCCTTCACACATTTTCTGGGGAGGCTTTACCGCTCCCACGGTAGGCTACAGGGTTTCCTGTACCCTGTGTCTTCTTTCATGATTTACTCTTTCCTTTTGTTGGAGCACATCCTCCAGCAGCTTCTCAAGAAATGGTGTGTGTTTTGAAATACTCAGTAATCCTTGATTGATCATTCATCTTTAAGAGAGCAGCACTAAAAACCTGATTGCATGGCAGAGCTTGGTGACTGGTGACATTTCACTGTGAGTTAGGTCTTGCATGACATTGAGGAATACAAAAATGGCAGTAGTTATGGGATACTGTTCTTGGGATGGTCAGCTCTTCAGACTTTTCTCCTGCCTCAGGGCATAACCCCGGCTGCTGCAGTCTTCTGGAATCTGAGTGGGGAGGGGAGCGTGGGGAGGGGATATTGTTTAATTCCCCCTTTCCCTCTGATTCTCTATGGTGATCCTCTCTCCAGAGAGTAAACTTTGTGTGGAGCAGGACTGGGGATGGCAGGATGGTGAGGAAACTCCTGGATACTCGAGGTGGCTGGAGAGATCTGGGGATTGAGTTGAGCATTTTAAAGCCTCACAACCAACAATCCCTGTTTTTATTTTTATTTTTTTATTGTTTTGAGACAAGGTCTCATTCTGTTGCCCAGGCTGGAGTGCAGTGGTATGATTTTGACTCACTACAGCCTCCACCACCTGGGCTCAGGTGATTCTTCCACCTCATCCACCTGAATAGCTGGGGATGCAAGCACAGGCCGCCACAGCCAGCACAGTTTTGTGTTTTTTTTTTTTGTAGAATCAGGGTTTTGCAATGTTACCCAGGCTGGCCTCAAACTCCCGGTCTCAAGCGATCCTCCCGCCTCGGCCTCCCAAAATGTTGGGATCACAGGCGTGAGCCACCATGCCCGGCCAACAATCCCTGTTTTTAGCCTTTTCCTTCATCCCCATTTCAGAGATTCCTGATGCCTCCAGTTCTCAAGTGCTTCCAAGATGAGGCTTCTCTTCATCTTCCCAGCACCATACCTCTCCCCTCTGCAGGCACTTGGGTTCAACATTTTTTTGGTCTGCTAAACGTCTTACCAAGTGACACCTACTTTGTAGCCTCCAAAGTTTTGCTGAAGTCTCCCGTCTCTGTGGTCGTTTTCTTTCCCATTGTTCTGTCCTTGTGCCCATTTTCTGGGGAGTAGCTTTGCCTCTCTCATGGTAGGGCACAGGAAACCCTGTACCCTGTGTCTTCTTTCATGACTTACTCTCTCATTTTGTTGGAGCACATCCTCCAGCAGCTTCCTGAGAGGCTTCGCGCCTCTTTTCCTCCCCATTGTACTGTTTTTCATGCCTGTTTTCTTTCCCCTTGTTCTGCTGCTTTGTGCCTATTTTATTCATTCCCTCTCATTTTAGTGGGGCTTTAACGGGCAGACATAACTTTGCTCCACTGAAGCAGACGTTTATTAGCTCATTTTAAAATGGAGGAAAATAAGGGCAGAGAGAGAGAGAGACAGATCCTACCCAAAGCCACATGATGAGTTAATGGCAGGGCTGGATGGGTTTTGCGTGTTGCTTTCTCCCAAACACCTCCCTGCTGGGTAGAGGCTGGGGTCCTGGGGAAGCCCCCAGAGAGACTGTATTTTGGGATGGGGGGTGTATGAGGCAGAGCTGCTAATGGTAGCCATTACTTGGTGGTCATGGAGTCCGGAGTTTTAAGAGAGCTGGCTTCAGGCAGCTTTAAGCAAAGCAAGTGCCTCTGCCCTTCAGCCTCAGCTTCCTCATCTGTCAAACGCAGGAGTTGTGAGGATCAAATAAGATGCTGCATGTCCTACCCTTGGGACGTGCCAGACACTAGAAGGTAGAAGTCACTCTTTTGTCATGACGGTGATGGCATGCCCTTTTCCAGGGCCAGAGCTAGTTCCTGGAGGAGACTCGGCACAGGGCATGGGTTGCTGTGGGGCCATTTTCCTGTGCCTGTGCCTTCTGATGTTGCAGAATGCAGCAGCAGGTAAGGGGGCTCTGCTGAACTGGGGGCAGCCCTAGCCCAGGCTGGGACTGTGGTGCAAGAGCGGGAGGCGTCAAACCACAGGAGATCAGAAGGGGCCACTTAGGCTTCCTGGGGCAGTAGGAGCTGCTTGTGAACCAGACCCTCAGTCTGGGATGGAAAGCCTAGAGGCCGCGGGGCCAGGGGGCAGCAGAGACAGGCTGAGGGCGAGGTGTGTCCCCACAGAGCCACGGAAGGAACTGCGAATCATGGAGAATATGGAGGCGCCCAAGGCCCGGAGCTCGTTTTCTTTTCCTGGGTGAGTTGGACATGTCTTTCTCCTGTGTAGACTCAGCTGTGCCTCCCACCCCAAGCCTGCACCTCGAATCAGTGGGCCGGGGTTGGTCCAGTGTAGACTCTTAACTGGGCATTTTTCAGCACTTTTACTGAGCACCTACTGCTTATCTGACTCCAGGCTCTGGAGATGCCGGGCAGACATGTCACTGCCCTCATGAAGTTTATCATCTAGGAATGGGGGCCCTTAATCTTGAATGTCATCAAACTAAGTGTGGAATTGTGGGTATCCATGCATTTTCATGGGAAGGGGCTCTAAGACTGGCTGGGTTCTCCAGGGTCTATGACCCGAAGACTGAGCAGCTCTGGGTGAGAGGCTAATGCTGAAGACTGGCCAGGGATAAGAGTGACTACAGGGAAGCTGTGAAGGAGCAGTCAGGGAAGGCTTCCTGGAGGAGGTGACAGTAAACTGGGACCTAAACAGGAGTTAATTGAGAGGAGAGGAGGGATGGGATAGAGAAGTAAGAGTGTGCCAAAGACAGTGTGTGCAGTAGTCTGGAGGTGGGAGTGACGGGTGTGGGTGGGGAGACCCTGCCCTCCCAGGCTGTCTAGAGCCCCCTCTCACCCTTACCCCACTCTGGGCTCTGGCCTCCCTGGCCATCTCTCCGGGCTGCAGTCAACTCCACCAGCTGGAGCAGATGCTGCTGAACACCAGCTTCCCAGGCTACAACCTGACCTTGCAGACGGCCACCATCCAGTCTCTGGCCTTCAAGCTGAGCTGTGACTTCTCTGGCCTCTCACTGACCAGTGCTGCTATGAAGCGGGTGCCCCAGGTCAGAGGCTGTAGGGGCTGGTGGGTGGCCAGTTGCCCCCGCCCTAGAAATCCCCCAGGGGTTTAAGGTCTGGACTTTCTTTGGGCCACTGTCCCCCTCCCCATGCCCCCCAGTCCAGGCTCTGCCCTAACTGGGAGTGTGAACTGTGGAAAGGGAGGTGGTTTACCGCCCCTCCAGGGCGCAGTCTGCTTCCTGCTTTGATGGAGGCTGCCCCCTGGAGGAGGCAGCTGTGGGAGAGGCCAGGAACCCTGGCTCCTTTTAGGACCCTGGGGTGATTGGCTGGGTCCCTGGCTGGGTCTGAGGTAGCACCATTCCTGCGCAGCATGGAGGGAGGGCCTGGGATCTTGGGAAGTTTGGGAGCAGATGCAGCCTGCCGGGAGAGGGATCTGTAGGTGGAAACCCCCGAGGAGGGTTTCGTGGGGAGTGGGAGGCAGTGAAGGTGCTGGGGTCGGGTCTGCGGGTCCTGGTTGCAGACGCAGCCGGTGTGTGGCCCTCTGCAGGCCCGCAGTCAGCATGCCATGCAGTTCCCCTCCGAGCTGACCCTGGACGCCTGCAAGACCCGCCCCAGGGAGCTGCGGCTCATCTGTATCTACTTCTCCAACGCCCACTTTTTCAAGGTCAGTGTGATGGCGGGCCAAGGAGGGTGGTGCCGGTCCCTTCTTGGGATCCACTGCAGGCGTCCATGTCACTGCCTGGCCTCTGGGAGGCCAGCACCGAGTGAGACCAGCCAGCTGACTGTGCAATCCAAGCCAGCCATTGCCCCTCTCTGGGCCTCAGTTTCCCTGCCAGCTTTAGCAGAATGGTAGGAAGGCACAATTACAATCTGCAGATGAGACCTAAGGAACCTACTATGTGCCTGTCCCTACACAGGAGACAGACAAGGTGGCACTTGTTCCCTGCCCTCAGAGAGCTCTCTCTCTTGATGGTTAGTCTAAGACCTTAGAAATTAATTTTTTTGGCAGAGTGTTGCTCTGTTGCCCCAGCGGGAGTGCAGTGGCGTGATTTTGGCTCACTGCAACCTCCGCCTCCTGGGTTCAAGTGATTTCCCTGCCTCAGCCTCCCTGGGATTGCAGGCATGCACCACTATGCCCAGCTAATTTTTGTATTTTTAGTAGAGACCGGGCTTAACCGTGTTGGCCAGGCTCATCTTGAACTCCTGGCCTCAAGTGAGCCACCTGCCTCGGCCTTCACAGTGCTGGGATTACAGGCGTGAGCCACTGTGCCTGGCCAGACCTTAGAGATTGAACGTCAGCACAAGATTGATGATAGCTGTAGAGATCCAGAGTGATGGATGAGTGAGGGTGGGGTCCTTCCGCTGGGCAGTCCAGGGGAGCTTCTGGCGAAGGTGCCTTTCAACCTTGGCCTTGAAAGTGAGTGATGGTCGTGGTGAGGTGGAGGGCGTGAGGCTGGTAATGCATTAAGCGATGGGAGGTGGAACAGCGCGTGCTGATGGGACAGCTTTCCACAGGGCAGGAACAGCACATGCAAAGAAAGCTGGGAGGCTGGGAAGGCTTTCATGCTGCGCTCGTGAAACTCTTGCTGCTTGTTCTCAGCCAGGGAAGTGGGCTCAGCCCTTACCCAGGGTCTTCTCGTTCCCCCTGCACTCAGCCCTTCTCCTGCTGCTCTTCCAGGATGAAAACAACTCATCTCTGCTCAATAACTACGTCCTAGGGGCCCAGCTGAGTCACGGGCACGTGAACAACCTCAGGGATCCGGTGAACATCAGCTTCTGGCACAACCAAAGCCTGGTACTGCTGGGAGTGCCCCCATGTCCACTGCACCCTGTCCCTCTGTGACTCTCCTGTCGAGCACTGGTTTCACCAGACCCAAACCTGTGGAACCATCTTGGAAACAGACTATTTGAAACCCAACACACTTTGAAAATTCCTGCTCAAGAAATAAGAGAGAAGTTTTTACTCATGTATTTGTCAAGATTCTTTCAGTTGTAAGTGAGGAAAGATCAGCTCAAGCCAGCTTAAGCCCAGAGGGAACTGATTGGCACACATCAATGAAATGTCTAGGGCTGATCCACCAGCTTCAGGCATGGCTGGATCCAGGGACGGATCGGATGCCCTCTCCATCTCAGCAATGGTCTCCTGCCTTGGCTGTCCCTTCTGTGGCATGACGGAAGCTGGAGAGCAAGACTTCCTTTCCCTCTTCCCATCACTCTCTTGCCCCCACTCCCTACTCCCAACCTGCCCCAGTGCCGATCAGGGTCTCAGGATCTTAAAGATTCATCTGGGTCATGTGTCCATCCCTGCACCTGTCACTGTGCCCGAGGGGGATGGAATGTGTGGATTGGCCAGGCCCAGGTCACATGGCCCAGGGACTGGGGTGGAGGAGTGAGCTCCTAGGGGAAGTACAGATGCTGATCCCGGAAAAAGAGAGCAGTGCTTGTTGTGGGTGGGGGTGGAGTGGGGTAGTTCACAAGCCTTAATGCCTCCATTTCTCGGCTCCTGGCATTCCTGAAAAGCCCGGAGCCTCTGCTTTCTGGATCCATCTTCCCTTCAGCCTCACCAGGACTGCCCTGCACTCTGAATTTCACCATCTGGCCTCTCCTTTCTGCCCCCGGCCTTTGCCACGACAGTTCCCTCCACCTGGAATGCCTTTGCCCTCCTGTTGAAATCCAGCACGTCCTCTAAGGCCACAGGGCCCCCTCCTCTGCTTGTCTTTGGGTCAGCTCTGCCTGCTCTCCGTGGTTTTCAATGGCTGCCTGTGTCATTTCCTCCACCTCTCCACCCACATGGCTTGGCATTAGGTTGTCTGTGGGTGAGTCTCCCCTGACCAGGCATGGGTCTGAGCACATTGCTGTTCCCCACGGCGAGGAGGGGAAGGGACCAGCTGGTTATAGAGCGCCTACTGTATAAAAGGCCGGAGCTGGACACTCAAGATTCCATGTTGCTTTTTGTTTTCCCACCATTCTTGTGGCATGAGTATGAAAGACCTTATTCTGTAGATGACTCAACTGAGCCTCAGAGCAACTTGGCACCTTGCCTGGGTCACTCCGAGAGTCCCTAACGGAGATGGGGCTGGAATCTGAGACCGAGACCAAAGGCCAGCCAGTGCCTGGTAAAATGTTGGCATATGTGCCGTTGAGGTACTGTTGGCCCCCAGGACTCCCAGACACTGACCCACAGCCTTTCCTCTGCACCCTTTGACTGACCCCCGCATCTCCCCACAGGAAGGCTACACCACGACCTGTGTCTTCTGGAAGGAGGGAGCCAGTAAGCAGCACTGGGGGGCCTGGAGCCCTGAGGGCTGTCATACAGAGCAGCCCTCCCCCTTTCAGGTGCTCTGCCGCTGCAACCACCTCACCTACTTTGCCGTTCTCATGGTATGTGTGCATCCTGAGCGAGGCTCAGAGCTGCAGAGGGCCCTGCGTCTGTGGCAGAGGAGCGAGGCAAAAACTGGTGCAAGGAACAGAAAACTCAACTTAAAAGGGCTTAAGCAGAAAACAAACAACAAACAAACAAACAAAAACAGAAGAAAACAAACTATGGACTCATGATTCTGAAAAGGCTGGCTTAGGTTTCAGGCATGGCTTGATCCAGGGGCTGATCATTAAGATCACTAAGATGGCACTCTACCTCTGTCCCTTAACTGTGCTTTCTCTGTACTGGCTTAGCCCTCAAACAGGATCTCCTTATGAGCTAATGATATAGCTGGCAGCAGTTCCAGGCTCATGCCCTGGTAGCTTTCAGGCCAGTGGAATAAGATCTTTAACCCAGTTCTGCCAGCCACATGTTCATCCCTGAACCAAGCACTATTGGCAGGAAGAGGGAAGTCCCTGCTAGGCCAGGCCTGGCACACCTTTCTGCACAGAGAGGGCAAAGTGGTGGTGTAGACCCCCAGGTGCATAGGGAATGGGGGAAGGGAGGCATTCATAGAAGAAGCGGGAGAGGGGAGCTGTGGAGGGGTGAAACTCACTGTATCTGCCATGGCCTGTTCAAGCCAGGTTCATGGCTAGGCTTGTGGGGAAAGGGACTTGGAGCAGAGGCCTCAGGAGGGCCCTCCGACAGCCTGGGAGGGAGGGCGATGCTGTGCTTCTGGCCTCCAGCCCCTCTTCCTTCCTGCAGCAACTCTCCCCAGCCCTTGTCCCTGCAGAGTTGCTGGCTCCTCTCACGTATATCTCCCTCGTGGGCTGCAGCATCTCCATCGTGGCCTCGCTGCTCACGGTCCTGCTGCACTTCCACGCCAGGTATTCTGCTGCCACAGTGCTGGGCCTGCGCCCCACTGCGGCACAGCACTCCACTGTGTCCCGTTTAGTCCACTAGAACTGGGCGGGCTTCTCCAGGGGTGGGGGCTGGGAGGTAGGAGGCCAGCCTTTGGAGTGGCTGCTGTGGGATCCCCGCCCCTTCTTCGCCTCAGATTCCCCGTCAGTGTGCACCTCTGTGCTCTTCGAATGGGGCAGCCTGGGTGATGTCCCTGGGCCATGGAGGGCCTTACTCTCACCTGCAGGAAGCAGAGTGACTCCCTAACACGCATCCACGTGAACCTGCACGCCTCTGTGCTGCTCCTGAACATCACCTTCCTGCTGAGCCCCACATTCGCCACATCTCCTGTACCCGGGGCAGCGTGCACGGCGCTGGCCGCTGCCCTGCACTACGCGCTGCTCAGCTGCCTCACCTGGATGGCCATCGAGGGCTTCAACCTCTACCTCTTCCTGGGGCGTGTCTACAACACCTACATCCGCAGATACATGCTCAAGCTTTGTGTGCTGGGCTGGGGTAAGTCCCTCTTCTCCCCATCTTGAGGCCTCCAGGCAGGAGGGTCAACACCCTCTCTAGTCCTTTCTTCCCTCCTCCTCATCATCATAGTGGCCATTTCATGACCACCAGCTGTGACCTCGGCCTACGCCCACCTCTATTTTCTATGTTACTAATTTTATCACCTCTTCCACCTCCTACATCTCCACTCTGTCACCACCATCATCACCATCACCTCCATCACTTCCTCTACGTCCATCACCATCATCATCACCTCCTCCACCTCCATCACCACCATCTTCACCTCCTCCACCTCCATCACCACCATCATCACCTCCTCCACCTCCATCACCACCATCTTCACCTCCTCCACCTCCATCACCACCATCACCTCTTCCACCTCCTTCACCACCATCATTACCTCCTCCACCTCCATCACCACCATCATCACTTCCTCCACCTCCATCACCATCATCATCTCCACCTCCTCCACCTCCTTCACCACCATCATCACCTCCTCCACCTCCTTAACCACCATCATCTCCTCCACCTCCTCCACCTCCACCACCTCCATCACCACCATCATCACCTCCTTCACCTCCTCCACCTCCATCACCACCATCATCACCTCCTCCACCTCCATCACCACCATCATCACCTCCTCCACCTCCATCACCACCATCATCACCTCCTCCACCTCCATCACCACCATCATCACCTCCTCCACCTCCATCACCACCATCATCACCTCCTCCACCTCCATCACCACCATCATCACCTCCTTCACCTCCTCCACCTCCATCACCACCATCATCACCTCCTCCACCTCCATCACCACCATCACCTCCTCCACCTCCTTCACCACCATCATTACCTCCTCCACCTCCATCACCACCATCATCACTTCCTCCACCTCCATCACCATCATCATCTCCACCTCCTCCACCTCCTTCACCACCATCATCACCTCCTCTACCTCCTTAACCACCATCATCTCCTCCACCTCCTCCACCTCCACCACCTCCATCACCACCATCATCACCTCCTTCACCTCCTCCACCTCCATCACCACCATCATCACCTCCTCCACCTCCATCACCACCATCATCACCTCCTCCACCTCCATCACCACCATCATCACTTCCTCCACCTCCATCACCACCATCATCACCTCCACCTCCATCACCACCATCATCACCTCCTCCACCTCCATCACCACCATCATCACCTCCTTCACCTCCTCCACCTCCATCACCACCATCATCACCTCCTCCACCTCCATCACCACCATCATCACCTCCTCCACCTCCATCACCACCATCATCACCTCCTCCACCTCCATCACCACCATCATCACCTCCTCCACCTCCATCACAATCATCTCCACCTCTTCCACCTCCATCACCACCATCATCACCTCCTCCACCTCCATCACCACCATCACCACCTCCTCCACCTCCGTCATCACCATCATCACCTCCTCCACCTCCATCACCACCATCATCACCTCCTCCACCTCCTCCGCCTCCATCATCACCATCATCACTTCCTCCACCTCCATCACCATCATCTCCACCTCCTCTACCTCCTCCACCACCATCACCTCCTCCACCTCCTTAACCATAGTCATCTCCTCCACCTCCATCACCACCATCATCACCTCCTCCACCTCCATCACCACCATCACCACCTCCTCACCTCCATCGCCACCATCATTTCCTCTACCTTTTTCACCACCATCACCACCTCCACCACCACCTTCTCCACCTCCACCTCCCTCACCACCATCACTTCCTCTACTTTCTCTATCCCCAGCAGCACCATCACCACCTTCATCACCATCCTTGCCCCTTTCTTGCTTATCTCCATTTCCTCAGCAGTCCCTCAGCCCTCCCTCCCATTTGCGCCCCACCGCCACCTTCCCAGTGTGACCACTCCTCCCTCCACCACCGTTCCATCACAGAGCCGTCACTAACATCATCTTGGAGGAGAGCTTTCTCCAAACCACCAGGCTCGTTGCTCTAAAGCCAGGGGCTCAGAACAATCTCCTCCCAGCTGTCCCTGGCCTAGTGGAATTCTGTGTCAGCAGCCTCAGGGACTGAGAGCCAGCTCTCTCCCACATCTCCTAAGCCTTTGTCCCACCCCTTAGGGGCCCCAGCCCTCCTGGTACTGCTTCCCCTCGCTGTCAAGAGCTCAGTGTACGGACCTTGCACGATCGCCGTCTTCGACAGCTGGGAGAATGGCACGGGCTTCCAGAACACATCCATGTGAGTGCCCTCAAGGCTGCAGCGGGCTCCCTGGCTCTGCAGAAGGGCCACATGGGCCCGGGGCTCCAAATGCAACATCTTGTAGGCAAGGCACTGGCTGCACTGGCTGTGGGGCAGAGAGGGGGCTGGGGCTTTGACAGGGGGTTTGCAGGGGGCTCTGCCGCATCCTTTCCATGGATCCAGGTCTCCTGCAGAGGCGGCCTTGTGTTCTATGCTGGCCAAGTCTATGAAGCCAGCCTCTGCTCCCCAACCTGCCAGGTCAGCCGGGCCTCCCACTTCCCCATCGCACGTGGCCACACAACCAACTGTCCTGTCCTGCCCTCCAGTGTCCAGGCCCTGAGGGTCTGGCTCAGCCTGCACTTGACTCTGTGCCCCTGCAGGCCACCTTGCTGCACCCGCTCAGGCTTTGGCCCCTCCCGACCTGCCTGGGCACGACAACACTGCCAGGCCCTCCAGCCCTCCTAGTCGGACAAGAGTGCTGTGGGGGCTAGGCTTGGGGGAGGCAAGGGGAGGCCTCGAGGCGGGCCTTTGGGGGCCTGGGGACACGCTGCTGCTGCTGCTGCTCTTGTACAGCCCCTCCCTGCACCCTAGGACATTTAGCTTTTTACTGTTACGCAGCGTTTCCAGCAGCAGACATCGACTAGCCTAAGGAACCCGGCGGCCTGTCGCCCTCATGCAGTTGGCTGCGGAGGCTTCTTTTCCCTCCCGGTGGATGGAGGCTCAGGATGGTGGGGGGCGGACTCTGGCAGGCCTCGGGTATCAGCCGGCTTCCTTTCACAAGGGCAAGGGCAGATCCTGTTGCCACTCTGATTTTACAGTTAGAGCTACTGAGACACAGGTGGCTTAAGAACCCCACCTGAGGGGCCCCGGCTGGTCAATGGCAGAGCTGGGACTTGGTCTCTGGCAGGCTGGTCCAGAGCCAGTCCCTAGCCCCTGAAGCAAGGCCAGGGACTGAGTGGCACAGAGGTGGGGTTGATCCCTCTCATGGTGAGGCTCAGAGGGCATGTGATGTCACTTTACATGAATTGTTCCCTGCAACCTCCATGAGAACCCGTAAGGCAAGTTCATAATCATCCCCATCCTACAGATGAGGAAATGGAGGCTCTGGCCTCAGTTTACGTGCTCTCCGAAGATTTCTTTTGTTTTATTTTCTTTCCTTTCTTTCTTTCTTTCTTTTTTTTTTTTTTTTTTGATGGAGTTTCACTCTTGTTGCACGGGCTGGAGTATAATGGTGCCATCTTGGCTCACTGCAATTTCTGCCTCTGGGTTCAAGCGATTCTCCTGCCTCAGCCTCCCAAGTAGCTGATATTACAGGCACGAGCCATCATACCCAGCTAATTTTTGTATTTTCAGTAGAGACAGGGTTTTACCATGTTGGCCAGGCTGGTCTCAACTCCCCACCTCAGGTGATCCGCCCACATTGGCCTCCCAAAGTACAAGGATTACAGGTGTGAGCCACTGGCTTCCATTTGATTTAGTTCTAGGAAGTCCTGTGTTCCCTGTCTCCAAACCCTATTCTCCTGCCTCAACATGACATTGTGTCTGACTAAAAAGTGGCATCTGTCTTGAAGGTGTCTTGGGGAGGCAAAGGGTGGCGGCCTCCGGGAGGGCCCAGGACCAGGGCTGGCCTGGGTCAGTTCTCCCTGGCTCTGTGCTCAGCCCGTGGGGGGCTCTCCTGCTGCTCTGTCTGCTCCCAGCTTGAAACTTGGAGAGCGCCCTTCCACCAAACCACGGGTTGGCAGTCTGCCCACTGCCCCGGGCAGGGCATGGTGGCCCAGTCTAGGTGGGAAGAGGCTCGTGGGGAGGGGGCGTCTCACTGCAGAGGTGATGATGAGGCGGTGGCACCATGTCCTGGGGTGGAAGGGGAAGTTTCCAGGAAAGAGGGCTCTGGGCCCAGGGTCCAATAGAAGATGGGGCACACCAGCCTTGGGCTGGCTGTGGAAGCAGAGAGGAGTGACATGTCGAAGGGAGAGAGGAAGAGTGTTCAGGTGGGTGAAGGCATGGGGAAGTGAGAGAGACCGCAGTGACTGGAAAGGCGGGCACGAGGGAGCAGCAGGTCGTGGACCAGGGTGGCAGATATGTCCTCTGGGGGTGGCTGGACTGGAAGGCCGGGGGAGGGGCTTTACCGTGCATTCCGTCAGGCCAGAAACAACCGGGCTGAGCCAGGAGACTGGGCGGGTCATCAGGCAGTGGCGCTGGCCCCCTGCCCACCTGGGAGCCTCTGTGAGCCTGACACGTCACCTTCCCCCACAGATGCTGGGTGCGGAGCCCCGTGGTGCACAGTGTCCTGGTCATGGGCTATGGTGGCCTCACATCCCTCTTCAACCTGGTGGTGCTGGCCTGGGCGCTGTGGACCCTGCGCAGGCTGCGGGCACGGGCGGACGCGCCGAGTGCCCGGGCCTGCCGCGACACCGTCACCGTGCTGGGCCTCACTGTGCTGCTGGGCACCACCTGGGCCTTGGCCTTCTTTTCTTTTGGCATCTTCCTGCTGCCCCAGCTGTTCCTCTTCACCATCTTAAACTCGCTCTACGGTAGGGCCGGAGGGCGGCCTGGAGGAAGGCGCTGGGCAGGGGGTGTATGGCTGGTGGGATGTTCGCTGCCAAAGGGGTTCAGGTGAAAGGGGCAAGTGGGGACTGACATCTAGCCCACAGCTCCACTAGCCAAGCTGGTGGGGGCTGCATCTGCGTGAAGGCGCCCTGCCTGGCCATGGCGGCTCTTCCAGCTCTGCCCCTTCTGGCCTTCTACAGTAAGAGATTCTGGAAGTTGCTTGTGGGCCCCGGGGAGGCCAGCTCGCTGCAGCCAAGGAGGCCCTGGCCTCTGGGGACGCCCACGCTGCCCCACGGCACTCCCACCTACCGGCCTTTCTCTTGCAGGTTTCTTCCTCTTCCTGTGGTTCTGCTCCCAGCGGTGCCGCTCAGAAGCAGAGGCCAAGGCGAAGATAGAGGCCTTCAGCTCCTCGCAGACAACGCCGTAGTCTGGGCCTCCTGGCCTGGAACCCTCAGCCTCTCTGGCTGCCAGTAGCCTGAGGACACGGCTCTCACTAGAGAGGGTCACAGGTCTGCTGCAGGACTCCAGAGGCCACTGTGACCCCCAGGGGGCCCTTTCCACTTCCATGGCCTTCCCAGGCACCAAGGGCAGTGTGTTACCCTCCCTCTCCCTGACATTTTGCTCTGGGCCAGGTCCAACCCCACCTGGGGCAGCAAACGTTGTCCTGGTACCTGGGCCCAGCTGGCCAGGGATGTGGGCAGAGCACCAGCTTGGGTGTCAGAACGCCAAGTTTCAAGGCCTGGCTTTGATTCTGTCTATATGGCCTTGGGCCTGCCACTTCTCACCAACCCCAGGTATCCACAGCTGTGACATGGGGACAGGCGGCTTTGTTCTAGCCCAGCCTAGGAGCTTGGAGAAGCATCAGACCCGGGGGAAGAGTGTCAGCATGGAGTGGGAATTCCTGTGGCCACCACCTGCTTGCTAGGGGCAGGATCTCGGCCAACCCACCCTGGAAGCACCTGCTCGGCCCCACCACTTCCTCCTGGGGAGGGCCAGATGGCATCCTGGCTTGGGGTGGGTGTAATCCACCCACCCAGCGTCTGAGACTTCACTGGCCTATGCCTGAGGCCTCTTTTCCTTTAACTCCCTAAATTATGATGACTCCAATTCCAAGCCCACCCTTCCCAAAGTCTGGGAGCTTCAGCCTTTCCCAGAGGCTCCTCCTGCAATGCTCCCAAGACCTCCCTCCATAGACCTTTCGGACCAGCAGCCCACCCACGGGGGTTCCTTAAGGGCAGAGGAAAACACTTCTTTCTCCTCCAGCAGCTGAACCAGCTGGACCCCAGTGACCTGGCTACTTGGTGATTGGGCAGGATTGAATTTGCCCTGGCAGGCGTGGGAGTGTGGGTTTTAAATCTGAAGCTCAGGCCAAAGAGAATCACCCTTGCCCCAGACCTGTCAGACCCCGTGGGAGACAAAGCGCATGAAGCCAGTGCGTTTCCCAGGACGAACACTAGGGGGCGCCATTGGCACACTCGGCGGCCCTTGGCGCCAAGACTGCATCTGGAATCGCTCAATCGCTTGTTTGCAGACACCACGCACCAGGTGGAGGGGCCGTAACTGCAGGACTGCGCCTGCTGAGTGACGCGCAGGAGGAAAGGAGAGACACGTTTACATGGCCATTTGTCTTTTCCCAGTGCAGCGGTGCGCTGTCACTCTTGGGGGCTGCACCTTGGACATAGCTGGCACAAGAGCAGGGCTGGGGTAGACACTCAGGGCCCTGTGCCAGGCCATCAGGCAGTTTTAATGACCTCGAAGGTCACAGGCAGAAAATGGGAGCAGGATCTCCCCTGGGGAAAAGTTCTCCTGGGGCATCGTCTGCTCTTCTGTACGTTTCTAGATGCAAATAGCTCCTTCACGGCAGTGGGTGGCACAGGCTCTGGAGCCAGACTGCCTGGGTGCCAGTGCCAGCTCTGCCACTTGCTAGCTGTGAGACTGTGGGCAAGCCACTCAGCCTCTCTGTGCCTCAGTTTTCCTGTTTGTAAAATAGAGGCCATAGCAGTACCTATTTTGACGACTAAGTGAAAGAATTCAGATAAAGAGACTTGGCGCGAAGTAAGCGCTCAGTAAACGGTTGCTGGTGTCATCATTAGAATTTTTGCTGTTGTTATTAATGGTGTTGACTGAGTGTCAGAGCCAGCCTAAGCCCCAGGCCCAGCTCTGCTCAACCTTGCAGACACAGCCCCTTCTTAGGCACATCTCATCAGGCCTCAGCTTCTTTCCCCAGAGGGGTCTCTGCTCCTGCCTCGCTGGCTTTCTGCTGTTCTAGGAATAGTCCCCACATGGGACAGCCTCCAGGTGTTCCATAGGTCCCCCGACCCCACAGTCCCCAATCTTCCAGTTTAAGAAATTCCTCATGGTCATTTATCACATCTACAAAATTGCCTTAGCTGTGCATAGAGGCCTCTTTCCCACGCTGACTCCAGGCAGAATCCCCCGCCCCCACTGTCGCCATCAGAGTGATGTGAGCACCCATCTGATCTCCAGTGGTTAAGCCCCAGATCCCCAGGTGTTGGGGCAGGGATTCCCATGCTAATGAGGGTCCTGAGGAATCATGGGAAACTTTAGCCCTTCTCTTGGGCAGCTCCAGAGAGTGGGGACACAGGCTCTTGCTGTGGCTGGATCTGCATAGAACTCTCCAGCCCAGGGCCTGGCCTCTTAGAACCCACCAAGCCCTGGGCTGCCGGAGGGAGGATGTGGCCACAGCGACAAGGGGCGAGACTGGCAGTTCCAGGAAGCAGCCCCAAGCTTGTGGCCCTGAGCCCCGCTGGGGTCCAGGCCCTGGGCAGAGACCGCTTCCTGGAAATGTCTCACCTGGGTGTGGGGGAGGGACTGAGGGAGACGGTGTGGAGCCAGGCAGGGCTCCACTTCTGCCCTCCTGTCCCGCCCAGCAAAGCCCACACAGGGCCCTGGGGCCAGCTCTTGGGAGCTTCCAGAGGAAGGAAGGGGGATAGAATGGGTGGAGTCTGGGGCTGCTGTTTAGGGCGAGGGACTCAGAGCAGACGCGTGGTGAATGGATGACATGTAAACGCCAAAGGGACCACAATTTATGAAAAGATGTAAGATATGACAGGTGGTGACATGTGCTGTGAAGAAAAATTGAGGGTGAGGGAACAGAGTGGCCAGGAGCCAGGTTTCAGCAGAGGGAGCTGACGAATGAACCCGTGGCACTGGAGATGGACCTGGCTGGTTGCCTGGAGGAGGGGCTGCTTCCAAAGCCAGGCTCACTGCAATTTTTCCATTTGGTGATAGTGAACTTCGGAAGAGCTAGGGGTGGGGAAGATGGGAAGTTGAACTCCTCTGAGATAAAACTCTCTGAGGGGGCTGAGGTGGTCCTGGGTTGGGGTGCCCCCTGCTACTGGCAAGAGAGAAGCAAACTCCACGTGGAGGAAAGCTTCCCTTGGTTAGGCCAGGAGGATGCCCAGCGTGAGAGCAATACACTTGTATGGGTTTCAATACAAAACTTACTAAATCACAAGAAAGTAAGCCACCATGAGTGAGAGTCGGCAGAAAAGAAGGAAGCAACAGATTTAGACCCCGAGGACAGAATACGGAATAGCCATACATGAAATGTTTAAAGAAACACAAGATGTAATCACAAAGATGAGCATAGAAATGAACAGAAATGAAGAGAGAGAGAGAGATCTGGGGAAAAACAAATGGAACTTCCAGAAAGAAAAACTATTACTTCAGTTTGGATGTGGTGGCTCATGCCTTTAATCCTAGTGACTCAGGAGGCTGAGGTGGGAGGATCGCTTGAGACCAGGAGTTTGAGACCACTGCAGGTAACATAGCAAGACCCCCGTCTCCATAAAAAAAAAAAAAATAGCCAGGCATGGTGGGGCACACCTGTAGTTCCAGCTTCTTGGAGACTGAGGAGGGAGGATTGCTTGCCCGAGATGTTTGAGGCTACAGTGAGCTGTAATCACGCCACTGCACTCAAGCCTGAGGGATAGAGCAAGACCTCGCCTCTACGAAAAAAAAAAAAAATCTCAAAATCTAAAATTCAACAAACAGTGAACAGTTGAATAGAGAATTAGCCCAGCACGATGCTATGTGCCTGTTGTCTCAGCCACTCAGGAAGCTAAGGTGGAAGGATGGTTGGAGCCTGGGAGGCAGAGGTTGCAGCGAGCCAGGACTGCACCCCTGCACTCCAGCCTGGGTGAAAAAAAGAAAAAAAGAAAAGAGGAGAATTAGTAAGCTGGGAGTTACATATAGAGAGAAGGCAGCAGAGGTAAGAAGATGGAGAACATGAAAAGAGATGAAGAGACACAGAGAGTAAGAATGAGAAGACCTTATAGCGGAGTCCCAAAAGAAGAAAATAAAGGGAATGGGAAAGTGGTGGTTTTTGAACACGAAATGGCTGCACATTTTCTAGAAGCGATGAGAAAATAGTCTCCGAACCAGGAAACACGAAGCATCTCAAGCATCATACGTAAATCCATGCTTTTACACATTTTATTGAAACCACAGATTGCCAGAGGCAGAGAAATGATGAAAGCAGGCAGAGAGAAAGGACAGATGGCCTTCCAAGGACCACAGAACGGGAGCTGGCTTCTCAACCACTGTGACAGAAGCTAGGAGGCAGGAGTAATAGCTTTAAAGTGATGACAGCAAATAAATGTCCCCTTAGAACTGTGTCCAGCAGGGGCTGGGCGCGGTGGCTCACTCCTGTAATCCTAACACATTGGGAGGCCGAGGTGGGTGGATCACCTGAGGCCAGGAGTTCCAGACTAGCCTGGCCAACATGGTGAAACACCATCTCTACTAAAAATACAAAATTAGCTGGATATGGTGGTGCATGCCTGCAGTCCTGGCTACTGGGGTGGCTGAGGCAGGAGAATGGCTTGAACCCGGGAGGGGAGGTGGAGGTTGCAGTGAGCCGAGATCCCGCCATTGAACTCCAGCCTGGGTGAGAAGAGCAAAACTCCACCTCAAAAAAAAAAAAAAAAAGGAGAAACGAAATGTGTCCAGCAAAACGGTTACCAGTGGCAGGTATCTGAGTTACCACCGGCAAATCTGTTTGAATCTACAGCAACCTCAATTCTTGCCTCCTCAGAGGAAAGAATTTGACTGAGGGGCATAAGGAAGAAGGAGAAACTTGGCAGGTTTCAGAGCAGGAGTGAAAATTTACTAAAACGAGTTAGGGCCGGGCGCGGTGGCTCACACCTGTAATCCCAGCACTTTGGGAGGCCAAGGCAGGTGGATCCCTTGAGGTCAGGAGTTTGAGAGCAGCCTGATCAACATGGTGAAACCCCATCTTTACTAAACACACAAAAATTAGCTGGGCGTGGTGGCGGGCGCCTGTAATCCCAGCTATTCGGGAGGCTGAGGCAGGAGAATTGCTTGAATCCAGGAGGTGGAGGTTGCAGTGAGCCAAGATCGCGCCACTGCACTCCAGCCTGAGTGGCAGAATGAGACTCCATCTCAAAAACAAAACAAAAAAGAACTTTAGAGGAGCAAGGACAGGATGAAGAAGAAAAGTACAACTTGGAAGAAGGCCAGGCGGTTGACTTGAGAAACCGACCACACAGCTTGACCTCTTGACTTGGGGCAGATACCTTGGCATACTTCCGGGGTCTTGCTTGCTTCCTCCCACCCTGAGATCTTACTGGGAAGCTGCTGATTGGCTGCAGGTGTTTTCTATTAGGAGCCTGCCTTTGCCCAGCACTGGCTGTGACCAATTATTAGTTTACAGAAACAGTTAACCACCTGACCATCACCTGATGGTCACCCAACACTCCTAGTGTGTGTGTGTGTGTGTGTGTGTGTGTGTGTGTGTGTGTTGGGGAGAAGCCCTTTTCTCAACATTTACAGGTAAATAAAAGCTGAGAATGATCCAAAGAAACTCCCAAAGTATGCATTTCAAGAAGGAAAATGATCAGAAGGTCAGCCTAAGATGCAAGAAGAAGAAATGGTGAGCTCAGCAAATGGTAAAAGCCTGGGCACAGTGGCTCGCGCCCGTAATCCCAGCACTTTGGGGCACTGAGTGGGAGGAAAGCATGAGTCCAGGAGTTCGAGACCTGTCTGGGCAACATGGTAAAACCCCGTCTCTACTAAAAATACAAAAATCAGCTGGGCATAGTGGTGTGCACCTGTAGTCCAAGCTACTTGGGAGGCTGAGATGGGAGGATCACCTAAGCCCAGGGAGGTTGAGGCTGCAGGGAGCCGTGATTGTCCCACTGCACTCCAGCCTAGGTGACAGAGTAAGACCCTGTCTCAAAAATAAATTTTTAAAAAGTAAGTGTAGCTAAAGCCTATTCAAAAATCATCCGTATAAAATAATAATTTTGTTTGTAATGTTAAGAATGAATCTGAAATGATGGAGAATAATAGTGTATAAATCAGGAAGAGTGAGACTGGAGCTACAGTGTCCTAAAGTGCTAGCTAGCATTTGTGAGGAGGGGTAGGGAGGGTGTTAAGATATTGTTTAATATGAGATGTTATTAATTACATACACATGGTGAAACTTCAAGGTTTAATTGCCTTTAGCTCAAAAGAAAGCAGCTTCAAGGGCAAAAACTAAAACAAAACAAAACAAAACAAAAAAACACCAAAAACTGGAATGTAGACATTTTATTCCAGTAGAGAGAAAAAAGTGGGATAGATAAAACAATCAAATAAAACTCAAAGTAAAAGAAACAGAAACTAATGGAAATCCAAAAGATAATAGAAACATACCCAAATATGTCCATGATTACAATAAATATAAATGGACTAAATGGACCAGTTAAAAGCAAGAGATATTAAGATTGCATGCAAAAACAAAACCCAGGTGTATGCTGTCCACAAAAAACAGCTCAAGTAAAAGGACACGGAAAGGTTGAAATTAAAAAGATGAATGAAGGCTGGGCATGGTGGCTCACACCTGTAATCCCAACACTTTGGGAGGCTGAGGAAGGAGGATCACTTGAGCACAGGAGTTCATGACCAGCTTGGGCAACACAGAGAGGGCTCATTTCTACAAAAAATTTTTTTGGAAAATCGCGAGGCATAGTGGTGTGCACCTCTAGTCCCAGCTACTTTGGAGGCTGAGGCAGGAGGATCACTTGAGCCCTGGAAGTGAAGGCTGCAATGAGCTGTGATCATGCCACTGTACTTCAGCCAGGGCAACACAGTAAGACTGTCTCAAAAAAAGAAAAAAAAGATGAATCAAGATATGTGAAGGAAAGAATAACCAAAGAGAGCCTGTGTAGCAATTTTGATGTAAAACAAAATATGTTTTAAAGCACAATACACTAATAGAGTAGAGATGGTCACAACATAAAGTGTTCAATTCATCAATTAGATAGAATAAAGTAGCCTTAAGCAGTAAGGCAGAGCTGCGGTGGCTCAGGCCAGTTGTCCTGGTGCTTGAGTAGGTACGGCTACACGTTCGAGGTCAGCCTGGGCAACATAATGAACCTTTCATTCACTTAAAGAAAAAAAAAAGATGGTTTAAGGCAAAAATTGAAAGAAGAGGTTTTTTTTGTTTTTTGTTTTTTTGTTTTTTAAGATAGAGTCTTGCTGTGTCACCCAGCCTGGAGCACAGTGGCGCAAACATGGCTCACTGTGGTCTTGACTTCTTGGGGTCAAGTGATCCTTCCACCTCAGCCTTCCAAGTAGCTGGGACTACAAGCACATGTCACCACACCCGGCTAATTATTTTATTTTTTATAGTGACGGAGTTTCACCATGTTGTCCTAGCTTGTCTCAAACTCCTGGCCTCAAGGGATCCCTCTGTCTTGGTGGCCCAAAGTGCTGGCCTGGGACTTTTTTTTTTTTTTTTTGAGACGGAGTCTTGCTCTGTTCCCCAAGCTGGAGAGCAGGGCACAATCTCGGCTCACTGCAACCTCTGCCTCCCAGGTTCATGCCTCAGCCTGCTTCTCCTGCCTTAGCCTGCTGCCCTGGCCTTTCCCTCTTCAGTGAACCAGCCAGAGGTCCACACCACCTTCCTCCAGTGCCCAGAGGACCCTGACCACCCCGGGGCGGGGCTGTACCTGGTCACTGCCTTGAGAGCAGGAGGGGGCCCAGCTGTCGCAGTGACCACGGAGCGGGGGCCCTTTCCCACCAGCCAGTGCTGGGGGCTCCGCCTGGGAATGACAGCTGATCAGAGCCCTGCTCAGGGGAAGGAGCGGCTGGAGGTGTCCTGGGGACAGGGAAGGGTGTTGGGCTCTGGGCAAGCCTGGCAGTGTCCATAGACAGCTTGAGTGTGAATGAGGCGGGGAGGGACGGGCTGGTGGGGCCCAGCCCTCACCTTACCACCCAGTGTGGAGGGGTGGCTGCCACCTCCCCTTCCTTCCCAGTCGGAACGGGCGCGGTCCCACAGGCCCGGCTCTCTGCTGCCCGCTGCTGGCCACACGGCCTGTAGCCCCGCCCCAGGGCTTGGAGGGGGCGTGGTCTCACCTCAGAAGAGGCGGGGCAGGCACTCCTGGGCCTGGGGGAGCCTTGTGGCCGGCATGGAAACCTGGGAATCGTTACAAATTTAATAAAATTTGCCTTATAAATTACAGCAGCAGCCCCAGAGCTCAGTTCGCTGCCCAAAGAAGCAACAGTTGGCCAAGCTGGGCAGCTGCTGCTGGAGAGAGTTGTCTCAGAGTTTGGGGCTGTAGAGGTGGCCAGGGACCAGCGTCACCTCCTCCAGGACGGCCACGGGGCAGCAGCAGGGGCCAGGCAGAGGCTCACGGGCCGGTGGACGCAGAAGGAACAGGAGCGGGGGCTGAGGCCAGGCCGTGTGGGCTGCCGGGCGCCCCGCCCACCGCGTTCCTCAGTCCAGACTGGCCATGAGCAGCTGCAGCTCGCGGAAGGTGCTGCCGTGGCGGCCGCTCAGGCCCGACTTGCTCTTGACCAGGCCGCTGATGCTCTTGAGCTGCTTGTGGCAGAGCCGGCACTTGTGCAGCCTGCAGAGAGGGCAGGGCCTGAGGGCCAGCTGGCACTGCCGTCCCTCCCAACCCCAGGGCCTTTGCCGTCCTAACTGCTGCAGCCCCTCCTCCCAGGGGAAGGCGGAGGCCCAGAGCGGAACCACGCAGCCCTGCCAGGGATTGTGGGGCACAGCCAGGCCAGGGAGGAACCCAGCTCTGGCTATGCCCACCACGCCCTGAGCCACGGCCCCAGACCAGGCCCTACTCTAGACGCTGTCCCAGCAGGACCGTCAGTAAGAGGGCCCAGGCCTTTGTCCCTCACCTGTTGTGGCACCCCGGCCCCCGACACAGGCACTGCCTGGCCCTCACCTCTCCTCCCTGCTGATATCCACACCCACGGAGGGCGGGGCCGCCAGCATGTCCGTGATGAGGGGCAGAAACCGCTGCAGGATCAGCTTCAGGGAGGTGCAGCCCGTCTGGACGTAGCTTCAAGGGCAGATGGATGAAGTCACAGACGGACCCAGGGCCACAGCCAGAGACAGCAAGGAACACAGCAGAGGGGCAGAAACAGACACACACACACGCACAGACACACACACACACACAGACACACACACAGACACACACAGACACACACAGACACAGACACACACAGACACAGACACACACACACAGATACACACAGACACACACACACACACACACGGCCTTTTTCCACTCCCACCCCCCCCCACACACGGCCTTTTCCCACTCCCGCCACACACACACACACACACACACACACACACACACACGGCCTTTTCCCACTCCCACCTCTGGATCGTTGAGGGGGCAGCGATGCTTCACAGCCAGTTCACAGGAACACCCAGGCCATTGGGGGCCCTTCCCGTGGTCCTGGAGGCTTCTTGCCTCTTCCCTCCCCCTCCTCAAGGCAGGCGTGGCTTCCCCACACGCACCTCTCATACTTGTTCTGCAGAAGCTTCTCGATCTGTGGCAGGACCGTGGTGCACAGGTCCAGCTTCCATAGGGAGCTAGGAGAGGCCAGGACACGTCGCTGTCAGCCCTGCCCTGCCCCGGCCCTCCATCCCTCCCCCCGGCAGCCACTCACGCTTTCTGGTTGACGATGTTGAGAAGGTCCACCACCACCGACAGGTCGTTGATGGCCACAGCAGAGTCCACCGACGTCTGTGCAAACAGAGCACGTCAGGGGGTGGGGCAGTGGGGCCCAGATGTGACCCCGAGAGTGAGTGTGGGTGTGCTGATGGGGCTGTGGGGTGTTCCCAGCGCTGCACCTGACACCCTCAGTGTGAGGCCAGGCCTGTCAACAGGGGCTGAAGAGATGGCAGCCTGTGGTGACCATGATGGGAGGAACAGATGGTGTCACGGCAGGGACGGCGTATCTCACCATCCCCCATGGGTGTCCTCTCCGGGCAGGAAGGGGGCAGGGGCAGGGGTGAGGCGGGGCCCTGGGCAAGGGTGGGTGCTTGCCTTGATGTCGCCTGTGGTCCACACAGCCCGCACGGCATCCAGGTGCTTGTGGCGGCTGATGAGCACCACACACATGGTGTCATGGCCTTTGCGGATCTGTGACATGGCATCGTCGTCCACCAGCTCGGCCTGCAGGGGGATCTTCACGGCCTGCGTGGGATGGGCACCCAGATGCTGGCATGGGTGGAGCCAGCAGCGACGCTCTGCCCTCCACCCACAGACCTCTACCCATGCCTCGCCCTGGGCTCCCACTCACGGGTAGGAAGTCGGAGGCCTTCAGGCCGATGGGCTCATTGCGGGTGGCAGAGATGATGGCAGGCTCAGCCTTGGGTGCACGTGCAGGTGTGGAAGTGACGACCGGGGGCCGGGGCAGGACCTCCAGCTGAAGGGGTTTGAAGCTCAGCAGGCGCCAGCCCGGGGGTCCCCCTTTTCTGCCTCCCAACATGAGGGACCCCCCAACCCTGGGTCAGGACCCTCTCTAGGCCCCTCCTCATGCCCCTCCATGGACGTACGTTTGGCACCGGGAACTGCACATCCATGGCAGGGCTGGGCTTTGCTGCCTCCTTTGCTGTGGCCACGTGTGGAAAAGACGCGAAGGGAGATGACTGGGTCCGGCCAGAAGGGTGTTATATGTAAATTTTCAGTGCGGCAAATGAAGTAGCCCTTGAATATACTTCTCTCAGCAAGGCAATTCACCTCTATAGAAGGGTGCACCTCACGGACGGAGCAACGGTGAGCACACACCTGGACGAGGGAGGGGAAGGGGTTCTGATTCTTGACACAGTTAGCCCCTACCACTGTGCCATTTCTTTATTGGCTAATAATTTTGATTGTTTTTTTTTTTTTTTTTGAGATGGAGTCTCTTGTTACCGAGGCTGGAGTGCAATGGTGCGATCTCAGCTCACCGCAACCTCCGCCTCCTGGGTTCAGGCAATTCTCCTGCCTCAGCCTCCTGAGTAGCTGGGATTACAGGCACGCACCACCATGCCCAGCTAATTTTTTGTATTTTTAGTAGAGACGGGGTTTCACCATGTTGGCCAGGATGGTCTTGATCTCTTGACCTCGTGATCCACCCGCCTCGGTCTCCCAAAGTGCTGGGATTACAGGCTTGAGCCACCGCGCCTGGCGTGATAGGTTATTTTAAAGAGAGCAGGAACATAGGCCAGAGTGGCGGGGTGAGTGGTTTGGCGGGAAAAATAGTCATAGGTAACTAAAGGTGACTCAGGTCAGAGCAGGTGACCGGGATACCTCAGGTCACAGCAGGCGACTGGGATGAGTCAGGACGGAGCAGGTGATCAGGGAACAGATGCTAACTGCTGATTAGAGCTGATGGACAAAGTTGTTTACTGAAGCTACAAGGAAGTTAAACTTTTAAACGGGGGACAAGGAACTGAGCATACTGACATACTGATTCTTTGAAGAGAAATTTAGAACTCATTGTACATAACAACTGCCTGGCAGGAAGGGCAGGGCTCGGGGCAGGGCTCGGGGCGGGGCTCAGGCAGCATCTGTATTGGGGGGGTGGAAGCAGCAGTGGGGGTGAGGCGGCAGCGGTTCAGCAGCATGGGGGTTCCAGAGGGCCTGGGTGCAAGCCTGGGCCTGCCTCCTCCCTCTCCCCCAACTCAACCTTAGGTCTGCCTGTGGGTGGGCCCCAGGGGGCTCCAGGATACGGCCGTCCTGTCCCTTCACTGGCGTGTATATGGAGGGAGCTGGGATGAGTGACTGGCAAGGAGGGGTGGAGGCTCCTAGGAAACCACCCAGCCTCCAGAAGGGGCGAGGATGGTCGCTGAGGGGAGGCCAGGAGGAGGGCAGGGGACACTGTAGGACAGGGGTCCCCACACCTGCCCCTTCACCCACAGCGCAGACGTTTTCTCCCTTCTTAGTCCAAAGCCCTAGCTGAGGCCTCGTGGGCCTGACCTCCTGCTGGGACTCAGCCCAGCTCCCTCCTCTCAGCTCCCTTCCTGCGGGAAGCGCTCCCCTCTCCCTCTTCTTGCCGGCCCCCAGGCCTCAGCAGGTGTTCTGATCATCCCGTCTACAGCCCACCCCGTCTAAGGTGGGCCCCCAGGGAGTCTTCTCTGTCCTCCACAGCCTGAGCGCCCTTGGCGGGCCCGTGCATATGGCGGTGTCCACGTCTGTCCCCCACACACCAGGGCACAGGCCCCCAGGGGAGCTCCACTGGTCTTTCAGGGGCCTGCATATAACAGAGGAAGGCAGAGATCCGGCTGACAACTAATTTTCCTATATTTCTCTTGAGAGATGACAGCCCTGTCACCTCAAGTCTGCAGAAATCGTACCGCATTCTCCCCACAGACTGTGCCCCAGCGGCAGCAGAGCCAGGGAACCACTGCACTCAGTTCAGGCCCTGTAGCCGTGGAGCCGATGGTGTGCAGGGTGCCCAATCCCACCCAAGACAGTGCAAGGAGAGAGACCACGAGAGGTTCAAGCTGGGAGAGCAACTGCTTGGTTGGAAAGAGAAATCCAGGAAGGCTTTATGGAGGAGGTGGTATTTGAGTAGGTGTCAGTGGGTGGAGGATGAGGGATGCTCCATTAGGTAGATGGAGGTGGTAGGCAAAGGCCCTAAGGAGGGCAATAGAGGGCGTGGCTGGGGTGACCCCGTCCAAGGGATTTTGAGGGTGGCTGTGAGGACACACTGAGGAGCTGTGAGAACTGAGAGGACACCGGGAGGACACGAGAGGACCAGAGTGGGGCCTGATCGCCTCCCGCTGCCCTAGGAATCGCATCTCCCATCCTTTCCTTGAAGGTTTAGTAGGCAGCTCCATGGCCAGGCGCGGCCCAGCCTGGAGGGAAACCTTGTGTGTTTCAGGGTGTCCTATCTCAGAGTCACACAGACATAGAAAACACACAGATTAAAAAAAGAACAATTATTAACTCTGGGGAAACCAAGTTATTAAGAAAAAAAAGAAACAAACACTGCCTATTGAAATGGGGCTACTGGGAGGGTGGGAGGAGAAACACGAGCGCTGGGGCCGGGGGTGGTGGCCATGAGAGCTAAATTCTTGTCCTCTACAGTAGGAAGGGAATAATAACTAATGGGTTAACATGTATTTTTTTTTTTAGATGGGACTTTCGCTCTTGTTGCCCAGGCTAGAGTGCAATGGCACAATCTTGGCTCACTGCAACCTCTGCCCAGGTTCAAGGGATTCTCCTCCCTCAGTCTCTCGAGTAGCTGGGACTACAGGCGTGTCTCAAAAAAAAAAAAAAAAGTACCAATTCAGACTCCCACCATAACCATTCCAATATGTTTTAGCTTTTGCCAGTCTGGAGATAGGTGATCTCTCCAGATTGTTTTAGTGTGCATACTGTAATTCTGAGTGGAACTGAGCATCTTTTCATAATCTCATCATCATTTTTATTTATTCTCTTGTGAAACACATGTTTATATCCTTTACTCAACTTTAAGAAAAAAAGTAATACTTTTTATCTAACTTTAAACACGTTTCAGCATTCTAAACATACAAAAAAAAAAAAAAAAAAAAGACTGCAAATCGTGTTTAAGAACAGAAGGTTCCTGAACTTTCATCGATTCAGTGGCTCTTTGCTTTACTGAAAATGAAGAGTTCTACAGTTTGTTTAAAAACAAACACACTTAGCTAAAAAACAAAACAAAAACTAAACACTTCTCATGCCAGCTGATCCCCCGACCTTTGTCCACAGCTAAGAATGGCAGCAGAAAGCTGTCACCATTTACAGAAACAAGACAACAAAGCTAAATGAATGCCCACTGCACAGTCAACCTGTCCAGCCTCACCGTGCCTGCCCCTCCTGTGGCCCCTCCACAGGGCGCCTTCCCACAGCCTCAATTCAGGAGCACTGAATTATTAAGAAGCATCAAGAGCTGGTCTCTGTTGTTTTGCTCTTTTTACAATTTTTTTTTTTTTTTTTTTTTTTTTTTTTTTTTTTTTTTTTTTTTTTTGTGAGACGGAGTTTTGCTCTTGTTACCCAGGCTGGAGTGCAATGGCGCGATCTCGGCTCACCACAACCTCCGCCCCCTGGGTTCAGGCAATTCTCCTGCCTCAGCCTCCTGAGTAGCTGGGATTACAGGCACGCACCATCATGCCCAGCTAATTTTTTTTTTGTATTTTTAGTAGAGACGGGGTTTCACCATGTTGACCAGGATGGTCTCGATCTCTTGACCTCGTGATCCGCCCGCCTCGGCCTCCCAAAGTGCTGGGATTACAGGCTCGAGCCACCGCGCCTGGCTCTTTTTACAAATTATAGACACGTACAGTTGATAACTCAGGCTTTCTAGCCAATAACCATAGAGTTAACATGATCTTACAAATTATAAAAATGCCAGAAACACATTTTTCTTTCTTTCTTTCTTTTTTTTTTTGAGATGGTCTCTCACTCTGTTACCCAGGCTGGAGTACAGTGGTACAGTCTTCTCTCACTGCAACCTCTGCCTCCCAGGTTCCGGATTCTCATGCCTGAGCCTCCCAAGTAGCTGGGACTACAAGACATGCGCCAGGATGCTGGGCTATTTTTTGTATTTTTAGTAGAGATGGGGTTTTGCTATGTTGGCCAAGTTGGTCTCAAACTCCTGACCTCAGGTGATCCACCTGCCTAGGCTTCCCAAACTGCTGGGATTACAGATGTGAGCCACCACGCCCAGCCCAGAAACATCTTTAAATGACCTGTCACCAACAGCAAAATGCACAGAGTGAGATTATGAGAGCGCCTTTTCATTTTAAAATATTTGGAAGCTGGGCATGGTGGCTCACACCTGTAATCCCAGCACTTGGGGAGGTCAAGTTCAGCAAATAGTGAATGGTTTGAGCCCAGGAGTTCAAGACCAACCTAGGCCACACGGTGAAACAAAAAATAAAAAAATTAGCCATGAGTGGTGGCATGCACCTGTAGTCCCAGCTACTGGAGAGGCTGAGGTGGGAGACTCGCTTGAGCCCAGGAGGCAGAGGCTGCAGTGAGCCAAGATCACACAACTGCACTCCAGCCTGGGGGACAGAGCCAGATCTGGTCTAAAAAAAAAAAAAAAAATTTGGAATTATGTACAACTTTGAAAGAGTTTCAGAGTGCTCTGCACACTCAGAGCCACTTTATATAAACCACTGACAATTTCTAGAGGACTCTGAGAGACTACAATATGATCATGATCAAATTTTGTAATTAAAACTAATGAGGGCAACAGGCAGCTCTCAAATAAGAGATGAGTCAGTTACGACAGCGGTGCCCAACCTTTTTGACACTAGGGACCGGTTTCGTGCAAGAAAAATTTTCCATGGGGAATGGTTTTGGGATGAAACTTTTCCACCTCAGATCATCAGGCATTAATTAGATTCTCCTAAAGAGCTAGAGCCCTCTCACCTGCAGTTTACAACAGGGTTCAGGCTCCTGTGAGGACCTAATGGCACCGCTGATCAGACAGGAGGCGGAGCTCAGGTGGTAATACTTGCTCTCCCGCCCCTCACCTCCTGTTGTGAGGCCTGGTTTCTAACAGGCCACAGGTGAGTACCGCTCCATGGACCGGGGACTGAGGACCCCTTGAATTATAACACTCCTCTGCTCTAAGGTACTGACAAGGAGGTGGAGAAACAGTTTTGTTCATTCCTCCTCCTCCTCTTCCTCGTCTGCCTTTTCCCAGACAATTTTGACTTTCGTGCCGCTAACCTTCCTTTAACTGAGAGTCAGCAACGCCCTTCTCACACTTCGGTTCTCCGCCTCAGTGACGTCGGGCTGCCTCGCACTGCCGCTCAAGTTATTCCCCACCGCACTCAGCTTTTTTGCCACACCTCCGATAGAGATGCCGGGGTTGTGGATTTGTCCTTGGGGCAGAATTCAGAACAGAACAGGAAGAATCCAGACGGTGGCCCTTTTGGGCTTTAGGGTCCTTCTTGCCTCCCTCAGCTGATCCGTAATCTTTTGTTTCCCAATCAGAGCACTTTATCCACCTTGGTCATTTCATCAGCCTCAGACTTCTCTTTTCCACACATTGTCTTCCGCCTCTCAGCGCACTTCTTGGAAATGTCTGTGAAATTGACCAGCACCTCTGGGTTTTTCTGGTGTTCTGCTCTGCACGTCTGCATAAAGAAGGCAGACGCAGACATCTCGCCTTTCGGTTTCTTGGGGGTCCCCTTTAGCCATCCTGACTGGGCAGTGCGGGGCACCTGCTTTACACGTTTTTAATTGGCCTTTTTGCCACATTCTTACCAATTCGTAGGACCTCTTTGCGTATTAGAAACCTTAATTCTTTAAAACATATGTGCCAAATATTTTCCCAGGTCTTCTGCATGCTGTTAGCTAAATTCTTGGTGTCACTGGTCATAGACAAGTTTTGCATTTTTTATATAGCTAGATGTAGTCTTCCTTTATGACTTCTGGCTTTCATGTCTTGCTTTAAAAGGCCTTTTCTGATTGGAATTTATTTTTAAAATGCTCTCCTATATTTTCTTAATACCTATATAGTTTTGTTTAACATTTAATTTATCTGGAATGTCTGTGTGATGAGCATGTTGTGAGGTAGGGGTCTAATTTTTGTGGCATGAACCTTTTAAAAAATTGATACATAATAGTCATACATACTTGTAGGGCACATGTGATATTTTGATTCATGCACATAATGTACAATGATTACATTAGGATGGTTAGGATAATCCTCACCTCAAGCATCTATTATTTCTTTGCATTGAGAACCTTCCAAATCTCCTCTTCCTGCTGTTTGGAAATAAACTACAGATCCTATTAGCTGCAGTCGCCCTATCAGGATCCGATTTGTTTGCATCTGGATGGAGAACCAGTTGTCCCAACACCGTGTATTAAGTCACCCCTTCCTGCCTGACTTGTCCTTGCCCTTTGTCAAAAGCGTCCCTCTGTCATTTTGGACATTCTGCTTGTGATCGGCACATGGCAGAACTGTAAGAGTTGACTCTGGAGCGGCTGAAATGGCGGCTGAATGAGAGCGAGCGAGGGCCACAGTACAGAAGACCACGGAGCCCACCCCGCAGCTCAGGACTCGGAACCAGGTGAATATGAGTGGCTCCCAACATAAATGGATATTTGTGGCTTTGGTGTTGATGCCGTTTTCAAATCAACTTTACTGACCTACAATAAAATTTCCACATTTTAAGTGTACAGGGTGATGACCGATGACTTGGCAAACATGTACACTCTGGGGCCAAACATACCAACCAAAATATACAACATGTCCATCTTTCCAGAAGGTTTCTCTGGGGCCCTTTGCCGTCAACCTCCCGTCCACTTCCACCCCAGGCAACCACAATTATCTGAAACCACACGTGTGTAGTACATTGATAACATTTTCAGAGAAATAAATGACCCACTCCAGCATGAGCCTGTTGGTTGAGGAGGAAGGCCAACTTCCCCTAAGGGACAGGACTTCTCTCTTGAGGCCGACTCCCTGGGCTGGTTCAGTTAAGAAGAAACGGAGTAACCCAAACCAGGTCTCCCAAAATTCGGGCACGCAAGTTCTGTTCCAGTGATTTTTAACAAGTCTAGAAATCAGCCAGATATTTACTTCATGTTTTCTTCTAGATCAACTGGTCTTTTTGCATGTAATTCAAAATGATCACTTTTAAAAGAGAATATAATATCCCATTAAATGACCAAGGGCAAATGCCATAATCAGCAGAGGACTAGTGATGATGTAAAATGAAAAATGAATCTCCTGTGCCATCTAAAATCACATGAATGCTGCCTCAGGGCAACCACAGACCTGAAAGCGGTAAGGGAGAAGCAGAGGAAGAATCTGGAACTTCATGCAGGTTGGAGGCTGGTGGTGAGTGGGGAGGGAAAGGGGCAGGAGGGTGAGCCTGTCTCAGCAGTGCTGAGGGGTGAGGGCTTCCTTCATCACTAAAGCAGAGGAGTTGCTTTGGGAACAGACCTGAGTCCACACAGCCCCTCCCTGCAAGGCCATGAGAAGGTCAGGGAATAGCCCCTTAGCTCAGAGGTTCTGGGATCTTCCAGCCATAAAAGGAAACAGAGCAGTTTTTGAGGGGTTAAGTGTGTATGTTATAATTTCTAGGGTGAATGCCAGAAGAAGTTACACACTATGGCCCATGGGTTAAATACAGCTTGCAGCCTGTTTTTATATGGCCTGCAAGCTAAGAATGGTTTCTAGATTTTTAAATGGCTATAATAATCCTGACTGTGTCCCACAGACCCTAAAAAAACCCACTGACTGTTTCCCACAAACCCTAAAATACACATTATCTGACCCTTTACAGAAAAATGATCTCTAACCCCTGCACCAAAGGAATAGAAACAGTATGTCATTTCAAACAAGCTAAGGGATGAAATTAAATGATAAAATGCATGCAGATAGTGTTTTAAGTCCAGAAAAAAGAGGAAAAGAATAGAATGAATGAGCAGGTAAGACAGAGAAAGTTAATAGATTTAATTCTAAACATTTACAAAGTATACATTATATTTACATTTACATATACACTTACATTAAATATAAATGGACTATATACTTCAGTTAAAAGGCAAAGAATTTCAGACTGGGTTTGGAATTGGGGGAGGGGAAATTACGCTGTTTAGAATAGAAGAGATATATTTAAAGCAGGCGTCCCCAAACTTTTTACACAGGGGGCCAGTTCGCTGTCCCTCAGACTGTTGGAGGGCCGCCACATAATGTGCTCCTCTCACTGATCACCAATGAAAGAGGTACCCCTTCCTGAAGTGCGGCGGGGGGCTGGATAAATGGCCTCAGGGGGCCGCATGCGGCCCGGGGGCCGTAGCTTGGGGACGCCTGATTTAAAGCATAAGAATAAAGTTTAAAGTAATAAGGTAAAAATACTAGTGAAGAGAAAGTTGAAAAATTACGTATGGGGTACAGTGTCCAATATTTGGGTGTTGGGTATACCAGAAGCCCAATTGCACCGTTACACATGTGATACCCATGTAGCAAACAAGCACATGTACTCCCTGAATCTCTCTCTCTTTCTCTCTCTCTCTCTCTCTCTCACACACACACACACACACAAAATTTATTTCACACATGCAATTTATTACACACACACATAATTTATTATACTCAAACAAAAAGGTGGATGTAACTATTTGTATTTATGAAGGACAAAATGAGCTTTAAGGCAAAAAGCAGAGGTAAAGATAACAAAAGTTACTAGGAAGACGTAACAATATTAAATTTGTGTTTATAACATAAGCTCAAAATATATAAACAAAACTTAATAGGACTATGAAAAAAATCAACAACCATAATAGAAGATTTTTTTTTTTTTTTTTTTTTTTGAGACGGAGTTTCGCTCTTGTTACCCAGGCTGGAGTGCAATGGCGCGATCTCGGCTCACCACAACCTCCGCCTCCTGGGTTCAGGCAATTCTCCTGCCTCAGCCTCCTGAGTAGCTGGGATTACAGGCACGTGCCACCATGCCCAGCTAATTTTTTGTATTTTTAGTAGAGACGGGGTTTCACTATGTTGACCAGGATGGTCTCGATCTCTCGACCTCATGATCCACCCGCCTCAGCCTCCCAAAGTGCTGGGATTACAGGCTTGAGCCACCGCGCCCGGCCTCATAATAGAAGATTTTAAGACACCTTTTTCAATTTAGTTTTAAAAAGGAGATGAAAGGATATAAAAGATTTGAAGAACTCTGTTCATAAATTAGACTTAAGGAACATATGTAGAACACTACACACAATTGTTGTAAGATACATGTTTCAAGCTGTTGAACATTTATAAATTTGGTTTATATTCTGGGCTTCATACAAATTTTGATAAATTTCTAGGAATTTTAGCCATTCATGTAATGTTGCTTGCACCACAATATAATTAAGCTGAAATCAGTAAAAAATAACTAGGAAATCCCCATAATGTGGAAAATTCAAAAGCATACTGCTTCATAACATATCACAGATAAGTTACAATCTTCTTGAAAAGATCAACAAAATAGACAGACCACTAGCCAGATTAATAAAATAGAAAAGAGAGAATAATCAAATAGATGCAATAGAAAACAGTAAAGGGGATATGACCACAGATTCCACAGAAATACACGCCACCATCAGAGATTACTACAAACAACTCTGCACATAAACCAGTAAACCTGGAAGAGATGGATAAATTCCTGGACACTTAAACACCCTCCCAAGCCTAAACCAGGAAGAAGTCAAAACCCTGAATAGACCAATAACAAGGGCTGAAGTTGAGGCAGCAATTAATAGCCTACCAACCAAAAAAAGCCCAAGTCCGGATGGGGTCACAGTCAAATTCTACCAGATATACAAAGAGGAGCTGGTACCATTCCTTCTGAAACTATTCCAAACAATCCAAAAAGAGGGAACCCTTCCCAAATCGTTTTATGAGACCAACATCATCCTGATACCAAAACCCGGCAGAGACTCAACAAAAAGAGAAAACTTCAGGCCAATATCTATGATGAACATCGATGCAAAAATCTTCAATAAAATAAAATAGTGTCAAACCAATTACAACAGCACATCAAAAAGCTTATCCATCACAATCAAGTAGGCTTTATCCTGGGGTTGCAAGGCTGGTTCAACATGTGCAAGTCTATAATTGTAATTCATCACATCAACAGAATCAAAGACAAAAACCACATGATTATCTCAATAGATGCAGAGAAGGCCTTTGACAAAATTCAGCAGCCTTTATGCGAAAAACTCTCAATAAACTAGGTATTGACAGAATGGATTTCAAAATAATAAATGCTGCTTATGACAAACCCACAGCCAATGTCATACTGAGTGAGCAAAACCTGGAAGCATTCCCTTTGAAATGTGGCACTAGACAAGGATGCCCTCTCTCATGACTCCTATTCAATATAGTATTGGAAGTTCTAGCCAGAGCAATCAGGCAAGAAAAAGAAATAAAGGGTATTCAATTAGGAAAGGAGGAAGTCAAATTGTCTCTGTTTGCAGATGACATGATTGTATACTTAGAAGACCCCATCATCTCAGCCCCAAATCGCCTTAAACTGATAAGCAACTTCAGCAAAGGCTCAGGAGACAAAATCAATGTGCAAAAATCATAAGCATTACTGTACACCAATAACAGACTTAGAGCCAAATCAAGAATGAACTGCCATTCACAATTGCTACAAAGAGAATAAAATACCTAGGAATACAGCTAACAAAGGATA